TCGGTACGTGTGACTAGATTCAATCAAATCAACTCCCTCATGCCGCTCACTGTACAAACAAGAGAGAGAGGTGTAAGTGCACTCCTTTCCTCTGCCAATGTTGCAAACGATGTACTGACTATGATCAAAATTATGGAATAGAAGCATATTTTAGAAACACAATGAAATGCCTTTCTGGTTCAAAAGATTGCACATTAACTGTTCAGTTTCAAAGCTGGTGTTTTGATGATTACAGTTCTGATCGTGTTGCAAGTGACATTAAACATTTCTGCCTGGTTCATAATTCTTGCCCTCAAATTAACACTGTGCTATGCTCATGCCTATGGAACACAACAGGAATGAGTAATTAACTTTGCCCAGAAGAAAAGAAAAGAAAAAAATCACAATGCATCAAAACAAATCACAAGCACCAGTGACAGCAACCAGACAAATAATTGCCCAAGACGTCATGCACATAAGAACAGCTGTTCACAAATAACTATACCAAATCAGCTTCAGTCTACCATTATGGCCACCAGAATTGAAAGCCTCAGAAATTTGGAACTTGCCACAATCATACAATACACAAAAGTTGTAATGAAAATCTTTAAAAATGTTTTGTTGAAAAGACGTTCCCTCACACTCACTTAAGAACCCTGCAGAAATGGCAGCATCCATCAGGATTTTGAAGATGCTGCATGTCAATGCAAAACCAGCCGATTCAAAACAAAATGGCTAATACCCACTTCTATACAAAAACAGGGCTTTCTCTGACTCCAAACATCTTGCTTTCTCTTCAAGTGTCATCAAAAATTCTCATAAAATTCTTTTAAACGAGGATATTCATGTTTGCTTGGCTCTTGGTTCCAATCTTGTAGAAGGATTAATGTGCCTTGCAATTCCTTTAGTTCCAGATTCGCAGGAAACTGTCCCATGAACCAGTTGCAACCGCCATGCCATCCTCAGTCACACCAAGACAGCTCACCCGGTTGTCGTGCCCTGCTAGGATTCCTGTAATGCATATAAATGCTTTTAATAAATGTACACGTGAATAATCAACTAATACTTGAAAGTGTAAATTAAACAGATCACACTGTCGAGGCACCGAGGTGTAAATGCATAAACCGGCTCAGGATACGCTTCACAGACACGCTCTTGTACACTTAATGATGGACTTTGTGTTCCACAAAAGGCAGATGATCAACTGAATGAGAAGACTGGTCCATGCACTGTTGTACTTCGCTTTATATGCCCACTGTGTTTCAACGTTAACTTCCAACCCATGTCCTAAACACAAATTGTATGCAATGAATGATCCTACATGAACCAAAGTACAATGAAACCTTGATAGCATGCCCAGTTATATCATGGATTCAGATATACCGTGGCTTTGGTCATGTCTCCCAATGCAGACAGCTTGAAACACAAGAACTAAACCTGCCCCCGGCCCCAAAAACAAACAAACAAACAACAAAACTCATTATATAGAGGTTCTACTGCACAAATTATGTTTTAGAAGCAACTAACCCCCTCCCCCATATATATTACAACATTTAGCAGACTGCAGTAAATAAACTGGTGATATGAACTTCCCAACAACTTCACTTCCTCAAGAAACTTTGGCAAATGTTTGGAACATTTATTTCATGTGGCAAATAAAATTATAACATCTTCAGCACAAATGAAGCAAAAGAATGACCTTGCATTTCACAGAAACTACAATTCAACTTCAAAAAACTGCACAACAAAATACATAAATGGCATCAACACTGCCTGCATGTCAATAGCCTGGCTCACAATTATACCCGAAAGACTTTACATCAAGTCTGAAACTCCCTTTTCGTTTTCTGAGGCAGGAAATCAGCAGGTACATCGAGACATTTGAAAAGTTAATTTCGACGTGGAAGAACGAGCCAAAGTCTCACAATACCTGCACGCTCTGTCTTCATGGAGTCCCACACATTGCAGTTGAAATCATCGTATCCAGCGAGCAGGAGGCGACCTGATTTGGAGAATGCCACAGATGTAATGCCACAAATTATGTTGTCATGCGAATACATGGCCAGTTCTTGGTCTGCACGGATGTCAAACAAGCGACACGTGGCATCATCGCTCCCTGTCGCAAATGCATATCCATTCGGGAAGAACTGGTAACAAAGAACAAATTCCTCACCAAGACAAATAATATCAAAGAGCTCTGCAAATACACTCCTTGCCCGGATGCGGCTAAGCTCATCTCCATCCAATCCCACGGGCAATTTTTGAATCCTGTATGCCAAGGCTGCCACATGCCAACCTCTTTAATTCACATTCATACCAACACTGCAAAAAACAGTCTGTGCAGTGGTGAAGAACTTACATTATCTTAAATTCCTGTACTCAGAGAAATGCTTTTAAATTTGAACCAGACAAAGTACACAGTCTGTCCCTTTAACCAAGAACCTGGCAGAACTCTGCCCCCCCTGAGACTGAAATGGCAGGTGACATGGGCGTGATAACATTCAATTAAGTAAACTAGCAGCACAAAGTAACTTGGTTACTGAAGCATAGGGACTGACTCTTTCATTATCAATAACGCTGTTTCACCTACAGAGGTTTTGTACCATCAAATTCAATTAAAATATAACCACAAATGATGTAAGCCAAGACCTGACAGGAGGCAGATGTGGCCTAATACAGGCACTTGCTTGAACCGAAGAAAATTGTAAGAAACCTGTCGTGAAACACAACTGATACCTGTAACTTCAGACAGCTGCAGTTTAATTTACTTGTACGGTCCTAAGTAAAGCGAGTGATCGACTATAAACACCAAATCAAACCAAATAATTCACTAAGATAACAAAACAACAGTTTGACCAAAAAGTAATGTCTCGACTTTGACATATCAGAGTGAAAGCAAAGATGGCCGTCTTCTAGGTTGTAGCGCCGTGTGTATTCTGGTAGAAATTTAACAGTTTCTGAGGTCCTCACTGCCTCCATCATCAGGGTGAAGATGACGGAGGCAGCAAGAACCTTCAAAACGTCAGCAAACTTCTACCAGACTACACGACACCACAACCAAGAAGACGGCCATCTTCCGACTCACTGCCACGAAAACCTCAAATCCTACAGAAAGAAAGAACAGCGGCTCCCTCCTTCTACAGTCTCGCGCTGCTGGCCACGGCTACAATTAATGGTTCTGTTAGTGCACTGTGTGGAAGGTGATTTTGAATTTCAGTGCGTTTTCCACATGCGTGCTACATGTACTTCACACAGACATTTTTTAAACTAAACTGTCGCAAGAACAACAAATGTGTGCGGATGTCAAGTGCTGTACAGTCAGACTTGTGAAATGACATATAATACGTCCAAGTTTATAAGGGATGTAGGATGTTATGAAAAGGTTTCCAAATAAATGACTGCAAATAGGTGTTTCTGGTAGGTAGCAGAATTTTACAATGCCCATTTCTGCAAAACTCGTTGGTAAAGCTCCAATTAATAATGCATCTTAATTGGACAGCGGATATTCAGTCGATTAAAAAAATTCCTTTTCCTGGGGGGCATGCATTTACAAAAGCTCCTAAGATATTTCAGTACACTTCAAAACCCACAAACTAAACTTACAGTAACAGCGTTAATATCCGACTCATGGCCCGGGAATGTCTGTTTGCACGAACCTTCCCTGATGTCCCACAGCTGCAACAGAAAGACAATGGGCATTACAGCGCGTTCTCGTGATCCCTGAATATGTACATACAAACGGAGCACACGGCAGTCTTACCTTGGCAGAGGCATCACAGGCCCCAGACACAAAGGTGCGCATGTCAGGAGCCAGGGACAAGGACATGACATCGCCTGTGTGTCCCATGAATGAGGTGCATTGCTGCCCAGTTTCAATATCCCACAATGCACTGCAAATAAAATGTTTTCCTCCTAGTTCATTTCCTTAAATCTGATGTAATACACAAAGAAAGTAAAACTGCCCCTGTGATAAACCATTGGAAGGTGCACACAGAAAACAGAGGGAGAGCTCGTACTTGCTTTTAACATCAGCCATACACTGAGGTGAGTGGTATGACTTACACTACGCGTATCTTACTCCTGGGGAACGAACACTTGGTATCCACAGGGTAAGGTCATAAAAGAAAAGCACACGTCTACATTAGGATGCTCTGCTCCACCACAAGCAAGTTTCATGGGTGGAAGAAAAAAGAAAGAGGCATCTCACCATGACATGTCCCCTGAGCTCGTGACTATCTGGTTGTCGTCCAGGAAGCGGCAGCAGGACAAGTAGCCCGTGTGGCCCGGCAGCTCTCGGCTCACGCGCACGTTGCCTTCTCTCGTCTTCAAGCTGCAAAGTTTCAACCTTCATGATAGACTTTTTCTTTCTTTTTTTCAGGATTTTCCTGACTCACACAAACACATGAGAGACAAAATCAGTCCTAGACGGATGAAAGAAATTCATTTAATGGAGAAAAGATCCAACTTTGCCAACCAACGAAGGATATTTGTAGTTCATGAGATGTCCACTTAAATAGTGGAAGTTTTACTGGTCTAGACATTGTGCTGGGGGGGGGGGGGGC